TTTGAAAGTAACCTAGCTGTTCAGTGAGAAATTTTTTCGCCAAAACTTTTAAGTGCCCATACTTGGGAACTACGCATGCCTGAAAGCTGAAACCGAAATACTCAATTTGTATTTGGGCAGGGGACATTTCTCGAAAATTTCAGCTTTCTAGCTTTTCTGATTCTCGAGTTAGTAATTTTCCCGCCAAAACTTTCACACGCCCTTACGCGAGTACCACGCATACCTGAAGCTGAATTTGAAATCTTTAGCTCAGACATGCATAGGGAGTATCCCTACAAACTTTCAGCACCTTACCTTGTCTGGTATCCGTGATTGCCTTCCCACCAAAAAATTTGCGTATTTTTTAAGGCGTCGATGCACGTCACCCATGGAGGATGATATTAAAACGGACTTGGTATGGGCACATACTCCCAAAGTTTCTTCCTTCTAGCTTTACTGGTTTCCGAGTGAAAGTGGGTGATAAAAAGTGCGAACACACAGACAGCCTCTTGCCAATATGCGCTTTTTGCAATTTATTTTTTGCAGTTTCCGGCCAAAAACTTAAGTACCCGTATACGAGAAATACGAGTAAGTGGAGGCTGAATTTGAAACCTTTAAGTTGTGTTTGGGCGGGGAATATCCTCCTAAAATCTCAATTTTCCAATTTTTCTAGTTCTCGAGTTAGCAATTTTCCTGCCAAAATTTTCGCGGAATCGCACATGACCTGGGGATATATCGGGGGCTGGGTTTGGAATTTTTAAGTCACATACGAGCTGGGAACATCTCCTGAAAATTTCTGCCTCCCAGGTCTGCCAGTTCTCAAGTTAGCCGTTTTCGCGCCAAAAAAGTGTCACGGGGCCATACGTGAGAACCATGTATGCCTGGGTGCTGAATTTGATAACTTTAAGTCGTTCATGGACTGTAAACATCCCCTGAAAATTTCAAGCTCCCAGCTTTGCTAGTTCCCGAGTTAGCCATTTTCCCGCCAAAAAATTTCACAGGGCCGTACGTGAGACCCACGTACGAGTGGGGGCTGAATTCGATAGATTTATGTTGTACTTATGCTGGGAACATTCCTTGAAAACTTGAGCCTCCCAGTTTTCCTGGTTCCCAAGCTAGCGATTTTCT